CCTCAAATCCCCCCCCCCCACCCCAATGTGAGGGGTATCGACTTCCTATGTACCCATTTTATGTATACAGAGACTTATCCTATTTTTTATTCATTAATCACCACACATTGTGAAGAGGAGATTTCTTCACGGTTCTTCCATTGACCAAATTCATTTTAGGTGTTTTTCATGGGGGTTACTATTGTTGTATTCAATTTTGTACGAGATTATGATTTTTAGTTAAATGAAATAGAGGTCAAGTGGAAATTAACCCTTTCCAAAAATTTATGTTCAATCAGCTTTAAAATTTAGATTTTTATTTATTTATTTATTTTAAATTCATATAGCCTATGTTGGTGCTCACCTTTGACCGACCATTTTCCCTACTGAATGCAAATTGCAAAGCATACACGTTTGGATTATATTAAATTGTTATGCCCACAATTAATATTTTATGTTCTACCTGGTAAGAAAAATAATTTATTTAAATGTTATTTTTATGATGTGCATTTCGTATAAGACTTAACAAATAACAATTTTTCTTACGTAGATGACGGCAAGATTTAAATTCAAAATTTTAAAATTATCTTATTTTAACTTGCAAGGAGGGAATATATCGATAAAATAATTTGCAAGAGAGACCATATCATCTTTAACTAAAATAATTATTTTATTACAATTTTACTAAATTGTGAGAGAAACCACATCATCTTGATCTGAATAAACGTTATTGCTGTTTTCATCTGACCGCCCACCTTTCAATCAGCCTACTTTGCGCTATTACTTTTATCGAGAAGAAAAATATGTGAATTACTCGAAAGAGTACGTTTTTTCCTTTTCAAAAATTTCCAATTGCAATGTTGCAAATGCCCACTGCTGATTCTATCAGGTTGTGAATATGTTCGTGGCAGTGCTTTTAAGTAATTTTTCAGTGACAGTATATCAATTTGAAGAAATACTCTCAAAAGCATTTTGGTTGAGAAATTCTGCACTTAATCGTCTTACTCCATCAAGAATACTAGTATATGAACTTCTCTTATCAC